TGTCCCTTGTGCCCGGTGTCCCTTGTGTCTGATGTCACTTGTGCCTGGTATCACCTCTGCCTGGTGTCCCTTGTGCCCGATGTCCCTCATGCCTGGCATCCCCTGTGCCTGATGTCCCCTGTGCCTAGTGTCACATGTGCTTGGTGTCCCTTGTGCCTGGTGTCACTTGCACCCGGTGTCACTTGTGCCCAGTGTCTCTCATGCCCGGCATCGCCCATGCCGGGTGTCCCTTGTGCCCGCTGTCACTTATGGCTGTGTCCCTCGTGCTCGGTGTCCCTCGTGCCTGGCATCTCTCGTGCCTGGCACACGATGTCCCTCGTGCCCGGTCCTGCGGGTGCCACCTCTACCCTGCAGCCCTTCCCCTGGGTGATACACCACGGGGACCCGCTGCCAAACCACCCCGTCACCGCGAGGTCACCCTGCAGCATCTTTATTGTGGTGTCACCCCCGGGTGTGACGGGAACTCCGAGGAGCCATCGGGGCCGGGAGATCACCGTCCTGGAGGTCCTCAGATGCTGCCTGGTGAGGGGCACATGGGGTGGTAGAAGGGGTGACGCGCCCCTTGGGGACAGGGGATGGGGACAGGCTGGATGTGCCATTACCTGCAGGGTAGTTGTCTCCAGGGAGAGGAGTGTAACCTGCAAGAGGGAGTAGAGGGGGTGAGGAGGGTCCGTGTCACCCCAGGCCACCGTCATTGTCCCCCCCGCAGGTCACCGTCCCTGTCCCTGTCCCACCCCGAGCGCTCACCCAGTGCCGCTGGCCTGGCCCGGTAGTGGTAGACACCGGCGATGAAGAACCCGAGCCCCAACGCCATCATCACGGTGGCCGCGGCCACCTTCAACGTCAACCCTGGGGACAAACCAGGACCTGTGGGGACACAGTAGGGGTGAGCAATGACGTGGCGAAGACCCAGATGTCCAAGTGGGTGTCTTCCCCTGTCCCCAACTCACCCCAGTCCTCCAGGAGGGGTTGGTCCAGGCTGGCGTGTTGCACCGAGCACGTGAAGGTGTCCCCGGCCACCGGGGCCACCATCAAGGTCACCTGTGTCTGGTAGGTCCAGTCACCATTGGGGATGGCGGAGATGGGGGGGTGGTCACCAGGCCCCACGATGTCCCCGTTGTGCAGCCAGATGACGGTCACCTCGGGGGGGTAGAAGCCCCAGACGTGGCAGGTGAGGAGGACGGATGCCCGAGTGTTGGTCGTCTTGGAGGCGATGATGCGGGCTTGGGGTGGTGCTGCGGTGGGGACGGGGGACGGTCAGGGTCGGGGTGAGTCCCCTCCTCACCCCGGGTGACGTCCCCATGCGATGTCCCACCCGCAATGCTCCGTGCGACGCGCTGTGCAAGCTCTGGGCATTGCTCCGTGCCATGACCCCCATGCAATGCCCGGTGCGATGCTGCATGCAACGGCCCTGTGCAATGTCTCCGTGCAACATCCCCTGCAACGTTCCCCTGCAACATCCCCATGCGATGTACCTATGCAACGTGCCCAGGCAACGGGCCCACGCGACATCCCCGTGCAACATCCCCATTCAAGGTCCCCGTGCAACGTTCCCATGCAACGTTCCTCTAAAATGACCCCATGCAACGTTCCCATGCAATGTTCCTGTGCAATGACCCCATGCAACGTTCCCATGCAACATCACCATGCAACATCCCCATGGAATGTCCCCATGCAACATCCCCATGCAACATCCCTGTGGAATGTCCCCGTGCAACGTCCCCGTGCAACATCCCCGTGCAACGTCCCCGTGCAACATCCCCGTGCAACGTCCCCGTGCAACATCCCCATGCAACGTCCCCATGCAACATCCCCATGCAACGCTCCATGCAATGCCCCCGTGCAACCCCCCACGCAACGTGCTCCACAACACCCCCGCGCAACACCCCCACCACCACACGCTGCGCC